GGAAGCCAAAATAATGATAACACTACACTAACACATTTTCCTATAATTTAGATCACGAAATGAGGTGCCTTACCTTCTTATCCCTTCCTCTCTGCATGGATAAAGTTTTAGTTACTAAGAATTTATATTTCACATCTCACGTTATTAGTGAACAAGCTTGAAATTAAGTTTAAAATGTTTGAGCTTTCATAATTAAATAGACATGTTTTGAGTGGATGTTGTTTATGTGAAGTTTAAAAGCAAATCTGTGCAAGTCTGAGTCAAAAATAGACAATTTCTACTTGATTAGACTCAAGATTTGACAAAGATTTAACCATTAGTATCAGAAAAGTCTTGCTATACAATAAGACATATATGATGACCTACCCAAGGAGGTGGGTGTGACGATCTTAGGACACAATCTTAATAAGGTGAGGAGTTAATGTGATCTCATTTAACTAAGTAGACATGCTTTTAGTAAAAGATGCTTCTATGAAGCGTAAAAGTTAATCCATGCAGACATGAAATAGAAACGGACAATAACTATTTAGTTAGACCTAAGATTTGATATTTAATGTTGACTCATCCACATTAAACCATAACTATCATCTATTCAATGGATTAACGATATTTTCAATATAAATTATGCTTCTTTTGACTAATAAAACTATCTTGAAGACACATGCCATCAATCACAATAATATTGGGATGATGATTCTATTCATTAATTCCAAAGCCAGCCCTTAGAATAATAACCTAAGAAGAACCAAACAACCCACATTATCTTGCATGAAAAGAATAACTTGATGTAACTGATCGAGGTTCCATGCACGTGCAACGTCTCATTTTTCCCATGAAAAATTTCTTCTCATTCATTTTCATCTTCTCCACCATATGAGTGAATAGACTTTTAATTTTTAAAGCTGTAGATCGATCACACTAATACTTCGCCAAAACATGGAGTACTTTGGTGGTCCAAAACAACAGGTTCCAATGCAAGAACAAAGTATAGAGATGATGTGGTTCCAAATTCCGATAGGGTTAAGTGAGCCCCCCAATGTGAAATTATCAACTACTCCACATGGCCTCGATGAATAGATGGATCAATCCTTTCCTTGTCAACATTCTTTGCCTCGTGGACATTACATTGAATTACAAACATATTTATTACTTCAAGAGCATGCATGGTTGCCAAAACCTAATCCTTTCTAATACTTAAATATAATATGCCACTTGTATATATTTTCCATTTGTAGAAACCACACTCAGCTTGTTTGCGTAAGTCGCAAGCAAAATCTTGGTCTATACAGCATATATTTAATCCTCGAACCTCGATTCGTAGTGTAATCTATTGGTTTGTGAAACAGTTAGGATTTTTCTCATGTTCACATTAACTTTCTAGTCAATTTAGACTCAATTTGGTTGCTTAGGATCTAGGCTGGGAAAATATAGTATGGCTTCAACAAAATGCTCACTTGCTAATTGATAAGAAATTGGAATTTTTCTTAATCTTCTAAATTTACTTTACCTATATAAAAAAATATTGTGACACAGAATTATCAATTATATAATATAAATATAATTAAGATAGTTTTCTTTAGAAGAAGTAGAAACTCTCTTTAATTTTGTCTCAATTTTTGTGTTTGGAGATAAAATTTAAGGCTTTAACTTGTGCTCGCATTATTTATGTTCATTTCTTAATTACTCTCCTCTATTACCAATAATGTGTGTCCAGTTATAACCAAGAAAAATGATTCCAGCTGCGTCCATCTCTATTGTTTCTATTTATAATAAAATAAACCAATAAATAATATAATCATACATAAAGGTACCGTGAAGCAGTTAGGTGGCGATGACGATGATTGGTTTTGATGTGGAGATGAAGGTGATGCTGATGGTGGTCTTAGGTGGGAATGACGCCAGAAGTTGCTAGAATTAGGGAGGGAGACAGTCGGTTTTCGCGAAGTAGACTGGTGGCGACGACGACGATTGGTGGCCAATTAGAGTTCGGGATGATGGGGATTTTGATGTGGAGATGAAGATGATGCTGATATTGTCGGATGGGATGGTTGGTGCCAGAAGCTATCGGAATCAGGGAGGAAACTGTCAGAATTAGGGATTTAGTGTCCCGGTTTACTATCGGGCCAGTCAGACTGGTGACTTGTTACTATTACACCATCCAAAGCCGGTCCAATCTAGGACATAAGCTAAAATCAGGTTTTGAGTGTTTTCAGACCGAAAAGGGGTTGGTTCCCAATCAGATCGGTCAAACCAGCCAGCTTGTATAGAAATACTATAGTAGCTAGAAATTAATTCACATATCCTGGATTATCTCTAATTTTCACACAATTTTATTTATTTTTCTTAATCAAGACAACTAGATGATTACAAAAGAGTCTTACAGTCACCAATAATTTATAACTGATCAGAAATTATTCTGCAGGACAATTGGTCATAAATGTAGCATACGTGTTTTTTTTTTTTTTTATTTAGCTCTAATTAAATTAAAACCAATAATATCACAACATGCATTAATCATCATGCAATATGTTCTTAACAGAGGAAATATAGAGTCAAATCCCTATGAAAATCAGATAAATCATGAATGTTAAATACATATTACAGGAGTTTCTTATTAAGAGTTAATTAAAGAATGTGTAGCTGTATACGAATGTTTGCAAATTCAATGTCGGTGGAATGTAAAAAGCCGCCTGTTGTGTATAGCGCAGCTACCAAACTTCATTGGGACTTGAATTAGAGGTGGATTTTTTCTCGGTAGTTTGGAAAGCTACACAATATCAAACAATGCAACTCAATTGTATGCATTAAACTATTAAATTCTCCAGTTTATCATATTAATTTTTCTTAATACATTTTATAGTTGTAACCTTTATTCACACTATTGATGTAAAGAAAGCAAGTTCCAATTGGTTTCGGACGCTATAAACACAAAACAAATGATATGATTACAATATTTAAATTTTATCAAATAAATGTATAAATGATGTGATATATCCTCGGGCGCTAATATGAGTGGTTATTGGAAGTTTGTCCGGTTATTAATTTCAGGGTCTCGTGAGATTAGTTGAGATGTGCACAAACTCGTCCAGACATTCTGATCACCAATAAAATAAATAAATAAATAAACAAAATGATGTGATATACTTAAAGGTTTTATCAGTAAAATGTGGTATAACATGAAATATACACTCAATACATGTTGGTCTTATAACATGTTTACGAATTGAAGAGGCCATGCGAAACGCAGTTTGGCTTGGTTAATTAAGTAGGTGAGTCATGTTGTCTCATGTAAGATATTATTCTTCAACTCTATATAGGGTCTAATTATATTAATATTTCAACTCAATTAATTAAATATCTGTGACTCTGTTTGGCTATGTGCTTAGTAAAACTATTCGGTATGAGTCGACAGATGACCAAACGCTGAAAGATTGAATCCAAATAAGGCTAGCTATGAATTCAACCTTATGAATTTGATTCAACTTTTGCCAAAAATTGAATAAAATATTTCCCTTCTGAGTTTATCTTGTTAGAAGTTGAATCTGTCCCATATCGTCCCAATAGTGGACTGTTATGACATATATAAATGATTGGGTTCCCGCCTCTATTGAACTAGCTTTTGGGAATGAGTTCTACTCAAGCCTACTTTATCATGGTATCAGAGCCACGTTTCTTTTTCTTCCCTCTTTGGTTGGGTCGATGATGAGTTTGAACCACAGCCTTGCACGCCAAGTGCAAAAGAGGGTATTAGAAATTGAATTTATCCTATATGGTCCCAACAGTGAGCTATCATAGTGTATATAAGTGATTGGACTCCCTCCTACCTGGTATCGTATACATTTGACTCCACAATTTATGCCGACAAAGGGGTAAAGTATATAATAGATCCCATACATGTTTCTGGCCCAACAAACTATTTCTGTGGCTGGGAGTTTCCCTAAGAGTCTTCGGTAGTTTGTCCCATTAGTCATAAATGTAAACACCAGAAATTCTTCCTTTATTTTTCCAAAACCCTAAAAACTTGTTGGTTGGATGGATGTTGATTTTAGCGTTGGAGTAAGAACCTGTCAACCTTGCAATTAACGTTCAAGTTCAACTTTGTGAGGACCAGAGTTGTAAATTTCAATCCCCATCAAAACGTAATCTCCAAGCTTAGTCGGCAAAGTCTACAGAATTCTTGAATCTATTAGATGATTAGAGAAATTTGTTAATGCCCACAGTTGAGGGTGTAATCTGTTATCATTGTGTTGTGTTCTTTTGATGAAATGGAAAAATTGATTCTCTGAAGTTTTTTACAAGTTTTAATAGTACTTTTAAACCCAGAAATGGAATAAGAGTCTCCTGGCTATGGACTCATTCAGAGCCTGGGCCTTGAGTTGTATTGAAAAATATTTACTTAATGGAGACATAATCTAAATTTGCCTTTTTAAGAATGTGAGATGTGACAATTGAAAAACTAAACCATTAAAATCTAAGGGCTTTTTAACAGAGAGGTGTAGGTGGGTACTGTATGCCTCTGCAGAGGAATAAGCTCCATCAAGGATTATAATTATGGGTTAGATATTAAAGGGATTCACATAAATGATAGATAATGTAGAGATTTGAGTGAATTTTTTGTATATAATTTGTGGGGTTTGGACTAATTTTAATGCTACAGTAACAATGTAATATTAGAGAAATAGAAAACGGCTCCAAGCTTATCATTTGCAGAATGAGCGTGAAGAAACCATCATTTTCAAATCCCAATCACATGCTGCTCTCATGGCCCAAGACCCCTCTGTATTTAACTCCCATCCCTCTTTCCCTCTCCTCACACATCAGTTCTAACATATTCCCTTTTATTCTCTTCTCCATTCCTCATATCCTTTGTCACCATTCATCTGTCTATAAACATCAGTACTCTACCTATTCTCATCACTTCTTTTTCTCTCTAATCTTTTCTCAAATTCTTCAAAACTTGTCCCTTTCACAATCTTTTTAGCTCATATATAGTTTCCGTAATGTTTAACAATTGCCTTAACATACCAGACATGTCTCCAATTCTCGATGAGTACTTCTTTAACAGCCGTTGCATATGGGTGAATGGCCCTGTAATAGTTGGTGCTGGTCCTTCAGGTCTTGCAGTTGCTGCAGGCCTTAAACAACAAGGTGTTCCCTTCATAATCCTCGAACGCGCCAACTGCATTGCCTCTCTTTGGCAAAACCGAACTTATAATCGCCTTAAGCTTCACCTCCCTAAACAATTCTGCCAGTTACCAGACTTTCCATTTCCTAGTAACTTCCCGGAATACCCCACCAAGTATCAGTTCATTAACTACCTGGAATCCTACGCAAAACACTTCGACATAACCCCGCATTTCAATGAAACAGTTCAATCTGCTAAGTTTGACGAAACTTTCGGGTTGTGGCGTGTCAAAACTGTTTCATCTAGTGGTTCAGGATCAGTCGAGTATATTTGCCGGTGGCTTGTAGTGGCCACTGGTGAAAATGCAGAGAAAGTTGTGCCTGATTTCGAAGGCTTGCAGGAATTTGAGGGTCATGTTTCTCATGCTAGTGACTACAAATCAGGTGAAAGTTACAGAGGAAAGCGTGTACTAGTTGTTGGTTGTGGCAATTCAGGCATGGAAGTCTCTGTCGATCTCTGCAACCACAATGCAAAGCCCTCAATGGTCGTTCGAAGCTCGGTGAGTGAATATATTCAAAAGGATTCTGCAATTTATCCTGTTTTTGGATGATTAGAAGTATGTAACGTCTGTGTTTTTGGTCACCAGGTTCATGTATTGCCGAGGGAAGTTCTTGGGAAATCAACATTTCAATTAGCAGTTTTGATGATGAAATGGCTACCACTTTGGCTAGTAGACAAGATTTTGCTTATTCTAGCACGATTGATTCTCGGCAATGTAGAAAAATATGGTCTAAAAAGGCCGCCTATAGGTCCCTTACAGTTGAAGAACAGTGAAGGGAAGACTCCAGTTTTGGACATTGGTGCTTTACAAAAAATTAGATCCGGTGAAATTAAAGTTGTCCCTGGAATCAGAAGGTTCTTTCAGGGCAGAGTGGAGCTTGTTAATGGAAAAAATCTAGATATTGACTCTGTTATTCTCGCAACTGGGTACCGCAGCAATGTTCCTTCATGGCTAAAGGTGAGCTGAATTTAGTTTCATTAAATTATTTCAAATAGATTTATGTTGACCTTCATGAAACTGTTACATTCTTTTTACAGTATAGTTTGGCTTGATGGAGAATTGTTTGTCTTATTCATAGAGATCAAATTTGGTAAAAATAATGTTAGAAAAGTTTCTTCTCTATCACCCACTTGTTTTCTGCCGCTGAGATTTGTATGCTGGTAAGGGCAAACAAAAAACTAACATATATTCTTCTATTTGCAACTATTAATGATTTTGATATCTAAAGAAGAACATTTTTTTTTTTTTTTTTTTTTTTTTTTTTAAACTTCTGGGTACCTGACAGGTAGTTAGGTTCTGTTATTTTTTGATTGATGATGAAGATAAAATATAAAAGAAGTAAACATTAACATTTGTAAGAAATGTTTTTGTGTTTGTCTTATTCAGGAAAATGAATTATTTTCTGAAGATGGAATTCCAAAAAATCCATTTCCAAATGGGTGGAAAGGCAAAGCAGGACTTTATGCTGTTGGGTTCACAAAAAGAGGTCTTTCTGGTGCATCTTTAGATGCTGTAAGTGTAGCTCATGACATTGCCAAGACTTGGAAGGAAGAAACACGGCAGAAAAGAAAGTCCATTGCATCTCGTCATAGAAGATGTATATCACATTTCTAAAAGAAATGGGGTTGTTTCTGTTTTGTCAACTGATTGATGAAGAAAGAGTAATACTACACATACATCATTTTCATACAATATTTCTCGTATAACATTATGTGATAAAATATAATTGATTAATTTAAAGTTAAAATTAAACTTTCACCTAATCATATTTTACCACATAATATTGTATGAGAATGATGTATATGTAGTATTATTCATGAAGAAATGAGGTCAGTTTTGTGTAGAGAAAGCCGAAGTAGCCCTCTCCTCCCCTGTATAAAACCCAGCCCCCAAGATTTGCAAATAATTGGAGATTTGTTTTTTTGTACAAAAAGGAAGAAGGGGTTTATTGTTTTCGAGTAATGCTAGTCTTACAAAAACAAATACAAAAGGGGCATACAAAGACAATTGCTGTCCTTATCTTCATGATTTCTCTCTCTCTATTTTTCCCTCTTTTTTTTTTTGTTTTTTTCTTTTTGTTGATGTCATTTTATAACCGAATAACATTTCTCATTGTCTCTGTAACGATAACATTTTTCATTATTCTCTCGTTCGAGAACCTATTAATTTTTGTATTATTATTGCAATTTAATAATTCAAGTCAAATGGGAAGTACTCTTTTCTCTCTCTTTCTTTCAATGTCTAAACATGGTCCACGTAGTCATTAAAGCAACTCATGGGCTCTCTCTCCACAAATGGGCCCATCTAGGGCCCATTAAGTAGGGTGGACCCTGGGTCTATTACATACCAAAAACATAACACATATCTTAAATAGTGATCCTGACTTTGAGTACTACTACTAGTAGTAGTACTAGTTGATTAAAAAATTGGGTTCCAACTCTTTGTTTTTCATGTAGCCTTGCACATGGATAGAGCCCACTTTCAACATAACTCAAATTCATCTCTTTCCATTGCCGCATGTGGATATAATAATTATTGGATTGCTTAAATTACATAATTCTAATTAAAGTCAATGTAATTATAACTATAATATATAATGATGTCAGTACAACTCTGATTAAATTAGATAATACTAATTAAAGTCAAGTATTTTATAGAAACCATAAAATGGGTGAGGAAGCAAGTGAAATTCCCTAAGCTTTATGGAAAAGGAAAAACTTTGTTCAATGAATAAGTCCAGCAATCCACTCTCGATCGATGCATAAACTTATATGTATATATTATATAAAATGAAGTTGCAGAGAACAAATTGGCATAAAATAAAGAGTGGTTGAAGCAATTGAAACGTAGGTAAAGAACTATTACAACACATGAAAGTTTCTATTCTAGTCTCCAGAATCATGCACCATTTGGGCACATGAAGCCAAAATGTATTCCACTATTTGTTCAAGGGTTGGTTTCCCATTTGACATTGAAAAGGGACTGATTATGAGCTTCCACTTTGACATAAAAAGGAATTTAGAAGTAGTTAAAAGACAACCCATATGAGTACCCATGCCATGCCGTTGGAACAAACACAAAGAGATGAAGCTTTAACTCAGTGGCCCATCTGAATTTTCTTTACTACCACAAAATTTAAAAATCTCATATTAAGGTGAATCTTAAATTTCCTTCATGAACATGCTATCTGCATAAACGTGTTTTTGATGTATTTGCGATGCAAGATTTGACAGTCTGGATATTGCCCTAGCTACTTCCAACGTACAACATTAAAACAACTACTGTATATTTGTCCAATTCCATCCACTGGAATTTCTTTTCTTCTCACAACCCTGCAACCTCTTACTTAGACATCACATTTACCGAGATATTCAAACACATGGGTCGTATATCCCTTGTTGCTTCCACTCCAATTGCCCATTCCTTCTTGTTCTCATTTCAATCTTAACTTCTAGTCGTCACCTACGGCACTCTTTTTTATTTAAACTTTTATAGTGCAAACAAAACGCTAACTTACATGCTGGCATGCAGGGTTCAATTTATTTCAAACACGCAGCTTCAGTTTACAAGTTGCAACCGCGCCCATTGTTTTGAATTAGTGGAAGCATATATTTAAAGAATTATACAAAATAAATTATATTTAACATGGTTTCTGTAAAGCTTAATTACGTAAACGGATGAGAGAAGAATATATTAATATCACAAAGCAATGGTATCTCAATACCTAGTAACAATCTCCCAAGACTACGTCAAACAATATGATGCCTACTAAAACCCGAAACTAATGGTATCTTTAAGCAAAACTCTTTATATTTCAACAAAATTTGTGACAACCTCACTAAATTTTCTCTTCCGTGAGCTAATTGGATTTTCAACTTCTTATATTTATAGGCTAATGAAAATCTACAAAACCTAATATTGTGAAATACAAACCAAACTCATGCCGAAATCATGTACACATGTTTATAAAAATGGAGTTCTTGGTATTGGTCTAGATGTATAGTTGAATCCCTAGCTAGAGTGATTATTTTATGTGCATGCACACAAACCAAATTTGTAGAGTCAACCAGTTGAGTTAAAATACGGATGGACCAAACCTAAATTTAGTTGAAATGCAAAGAGACTATGTGATAGCCAGACACAAGTCTTCATCAGAAAAGAACTAATTTCACCGGCCTATTTATTATATCAATCTAGACTTTAAAGTATTACAATATGTGTCTAATAAAGAAAAGGCAGTTAATTTCCGAGCATCTTTCACATAATTCCTAAATTATCAGTCTCCATAATGCACTTATAGAAGCTCAGACTGATTTATGTCCTTCATTGCCACAGCGCATAATTATTTACTTTTATTACAAAAGTTGCAGTATAATTTGTGAATTATTAGAGGAAAGTACTTTCTACTGACACATACTCCCCACACATATTATAATGTCTATAACTCTTATATTAACAATATTATGACATTACTCTATATCTTTTTATGAACCATCGTGTTATTTATATACATTTTATTTAGATGTAAATGAACAACTTTTATTATATATATAAGTTCAACCCTAAAAATTCCATAATACGTCCCTATACATTATTTCATTCTTCAAATAAATTAATGTCTTAACGAAGATAAATAAAAATGTCAAATATGCCTCATTTCAAGTTGTTTGCGATACTTGTTTATTATATCATATTTTTGGTCATTTCCTCTTATTGATATAACTCATTTATGTTTGATGAAAATTTAAGTATAGTAATGTCTATTATTGGAATTCAATTTTTCAATATAGTAGAACATTTCTATAGTCATAATGTTGGGATCAACTAAATTTATTATTATGAAGAGGTTATAACTTAATAGATGTATAATTAGTTATAATAATTTTTTTTAATTCAAATTTATTTATTTATTTTATAATCATGTTTTAGTATTATTAGGATTTCTATTCATGTTTTAGTAGTATTAGGATTTCAATTAATTGCTTTAGTAGCATTAGGATAATACGAAAATAGATATTAAAGAGTTATTGTAGAATTGAGTTATCAGATTCGACAGCTTCATTACACTAATCAAATAGATATTAATATGTTTTATCAATAAAAAAATGAGTAACAAGTCATATATGCTTTAATTGAAAAAAAAAAATATTACTATAATTAGACAAGAAGATGAATGAGATAATTCTGAGAATGATAGTACAGAAATACTAAAAATTTCGTGTCAAGAAATATTTTGAACATACTTGAAAAGTTAGAAATATTTTGGTTTCAATAAGAAAGTGTCTATATTGACAACTTATTATAAATAGACACCTTCTTATGAACCTACAAGATAAAAGATGTGATAACAACTTTATAGTATAAATCATTGTCAAACAACTTTAGATAAATATTTTTATTCCATCTTAAACATTTAATGTAACATAGCATATATATTCTATAATATACATATAATTATTACCATATAAAGACAAGTTCCTTAAAACGGGACTTAGAAAAATTATAACTTATTACAATGTGAAAATTATTCTTATTTATGACTGACCTAAACTAAGACTAAATTTTTTCATAATTATATAAAGATTATTCATGTATAGAGTATAACTATATGGGGGTGTTTGGTTGGGGGTTATGTGGGATTACTGGGGTAATGTCATCTTATATTACCTGATTACCACGTTTGGTTGGCAAAGTAATATAAGATTCCGGTAATCCTCAAATACCAATAGTAGTTACTATTGGTAATATATGAGGTAATCTGATTACTTCCATTTTCTTAGGTTTTCTAAGATTACCAGGGTAATCTTTTTTTGTTACAATTCTATCCCTTATTAATAAAATTATAAGACAATAATACCCTTGTTATTTAAACAATTTACAAAAAAGTTATGGACATCTTTAACCTTACACACAAAAAATTTAAACCCGTTTATACCCTCCAACTTCAACAAAATTAAAAATTCCCAATTCATTACTGTCTGAAATCCCCCAAACCGAACTCCTTTACTCATCATCTACGAATTAAATCTTTATCTATCAAATAATTACCCATTTTTCCATTAAAAATTCCCAGTTCATTACCGTGTGAATGCCAAAACCTAACTCATTTACTCATCATCTACCGAATTAAATCTTCATCTACCAGATTAATTACCCACTTTTCACACAGTCGAACAAAAACCATTTGCATTTAACTTTCAGCTTCCTTCATGTTCAGATCAAGTAATGCAAATTTCAGCTTCCTTTCATGTTCAGATCAAGTAATGCAAATTTAGCTTCTTCAGATCAAGTGAAGTGCGTCTGCTGCAAATATCTCGTCTTCACTTCCAGCAAGTCGTCCACTGTTCCTTGAATCTGTGCCGTCGTCTCAGCCGAATCGAGGTATCATCCAGTTTTCAACTTCAGATCCGCAACTGTGTTAGTGAAATGCAGATTGAGCTGTAAATCGTTCGTTTGGTTGGGTGTTGTTATTTATTGAGTCAGTCAATGTCAAATCTGTTATTCCTTCTCGAACTGAGCCTTTTCTATACACACAGCATCAACTTCAACCACCTTATTCCTTTTGTTAAGTAGCTGAAATCTTGATGATGAGCTTTCAGCGTTATCCCCTGTTG